GACAACAAAACACGAAACTTCAGATCATATGTTTTTTCAGATGATAAACACTAAATTGACATGTCTTTCCGACATACTCTGAAAAAGATTTTTGTTGTTGTTGTTGTTGTTTTTTTCCGAGCTTGCCGGAATTATCCACTAAGGTGGTAAAACTGTAAGGAAAGCTAGATGTCTAGAATCATGGCATTATATGGCCAATTTTTTTGTACTTTTATGTGTAGGTTAGACAATAAATTAAAAAAATTCAGAATCCGGATCTAGACTGGTATTTAGTCAGCCCGGTCTCTAACCTACGAAATGTATATCGCGCAACAGACAGGAAAGGCCAGTGTAAATTCGGATCATTTCTTTTTTTGTATGACAAAACGAAATTGTTATCGTACAGTCTATCTACAGTAGTTTTCCTAGAATCCCCGACCGTGAAGTCGAGCATGCGTATTTCAGAAATATAGACTAACGTAGTTGCTAGCGCTCGAGAGCGCTAGCAATTATAGTCGATGTATTCCAGTGTATGACTACGATCCCCTATTGTTGACCTACCCTATCCCTGGAGGCATTATTTGAACAATCTCTTATTATCGGAAGCTGCTTGCATATTTAAATGATAAATCATGAATTTGTTGTTCTTGCGAGGAAAACTTTTTTAAAAGACTTTTTTTCATATATTTCCATGTTAAGCTTTGATCCCCTGTTATTGCCAAACCTTCCCCCTTAGGACCATAATTGGAACATTTTTGAAATATCACTAACTAAGCTTGCTTGCATAATAATATTATTTTATGCAATAATATTGCTCCCTTTTTTTAAAAATGAGATTTTCAAGATTTTTTCCCTATTAACTTCCATTTGATCCCCTATTGTGGTCCCAGCCCGGGAACCCACCTGACAATTGTATTCACCGATAGTAAAACAAAGGAATACAGACACAAATCGCCTTGCAGTATGGCTTTGAGAATTCCACCTTTATTTAACAAATGAATTTTTAAAATTATGAACATGGAATAGAATAAGAATGGACAGATTGCTATTCATCTACGAAATGCATGGAAAGAAAGCTCTTTGTGTCTTTCCGATCGCCTGCATTAGATTTGTTTTTTTTTTTCAAGCGTAAAATTCCTGTAGTATCCGTAGTAACACATAATACAATCAACTCATTCAGCTGATATGTCTGTTTAAGCCATGTTGCTACATCATTTGTTAATCTGACGCCAAAAATATAGTCCCAGTTCCCATGAAAGTAAATTATATGTTTGAGCAAAAAGAAATTTTAATACATAACTGCAGAAACTAATGTCATAAAGAATACTTAATGAAGTTTGAATGAATTCAAGAGAGATTGAAGTACATTTCTACAGATATAATACAGTGGTGAAAACTGAAACGCAAAAGAATCAAAACTGACTTCCGGTGTAACCTAGACGAAAGATAGCGCTTTTGGTGACTACGCCATCTTTCGTCCATTTTCTGAAAATTTCTGACCGTAATGTCGGATGGGAGTAAGCATATATATATATATGAACCCTCTCACAAGAAACATAAGAAATCATCGATGCATTCAAATGTTAACAATAAACACATATTTTTCTCAAAGTAATTTACAGCTATTTCTCTATATTTTTTTTTTAATTTGTCAAATTTTGAAAGGAAGGAGACAATTAAGTTAAATGATTAAGACAACAAGTAACTCTACGAAGAGAAAAGAAAACAATCACGAGCAATGGAAATGATCCACATAAAATTTCTTTGACTGCGATTAACTTGATCGAAATTTATTTGAAACAACTTTGTGTAGTCATTACAACAAGTATAAAAAAAAAGCAACAAGAGGCCCATTGGGGGCCACAACGCTCACCTGAGTAACTATGGCCCTTCTGTTCTTCTTCAGCAAATTCCCTACACATTTTTATGTAAGACTTTGCTGTATATTCCTTTGTAAAACTTTGATCCTTTGTTGTGGTCCCGCCCTACTCCCCCAACCCGGGGGTGGGGGTGGGGGGTTGTTGGGGGGGTTATGATTTGAACAAATTTGAATCTACACTACCTGAAGATGCTTCTGTATTAATCTGACTAATAATGTCTTTGCTGTTATAAAAAAAAGATTTTAAAGATATTTCCTATATATTCCTGTGTAAAACACTGACCTCCTGTTGTGGTCCCGCCATATCCCCGGGGGTTATGATATGAACAAACTTCAATCTACAGTGTATAATGAAGTTTTCACATAAGTTTCTTCTTTTCTGGCCAAGTGGTTCTTGAGAAAAAGATTTTTGAAAGATGCAATCAAATTTTTACGAAGTCTTAATTATCTCCCCTTGAAAGAGGGCGTGGAACTTCCTGTGAACAAAGTTGAACCCCCTTCACTTAAAAAAGCTTTGTGACAAGTTTGGTTGAAATTGGATTAGTGGACGAAAATGTGAACATTTTAGAGACACACGAGAGACAGACAAAATTTTTTTTGATCAGAAAATCTCACTTGAGCCTTCGGCTCAGATGAACAAAAACTAAAGATTTAAAGAAATTCAAAGTCTTTCAAAAAGTATATGAGAACCTTGATAAGACGACAGAATATGTTTATTATACATACTTTTTAAATTGTTTTTACTATCAATTTACTGGATACTATTTTGCATGGCTACCTGTCTAGCTTTTGATAATTTAACGTACGTGATAAACACTTCACATTATATATTAAGTTTACGACTTAAAGTGCACATTTTCCTATTGCCTGTGAATTAAAAATATATGGTAGGGTAAGCTTACTTGTATATCCGGTTTGTAACGTTAACACGTGTTACTTAATTCCGTCGATTAATGTTTCAACTGATTTCTAACCATATACAGTCTGAAATACACGTAGTTCGATATGGAAACAATCCATTGTAGATTTTATCTTTCCTTAATCATTCTTTTTTTAATTACTGTTAGCATTTTATTTTTTGCAAAATTTGTCAAAATGCCAAGTATTATATAGACTGTATGTACATGTTGGATTTTGCCTCATAAACAGAAAAAGATGGTTTAAAATAATACTAAGTATATAAAACTACCTTGAATTATTTTTATTCAATTAATCATCGGTAGACTTCTTTCCTCCTTTTATCTTTTGATTAATATTAAAAATTTGAGATATGTACATATATAGATCTTTATACGTTTTGTGAATTCACCTATCTTGATGTTTCGGCCATTAAGATAAATCTCACATGCAATAGAAGTAGATAAGTCAAACGCAATCATTCGTGATCATTTTCAAAATACCTCAGTCACAACAGCATGTATTTTAAAAACCGGAATGACTTACTTTTGGATAATCTGTTTGACCCAGACCCTTATAAAGTCTTCATCAACTCGACTCCCGCTGATATTTATCAATGTGGCAGTTTGTATTTTAAACGTTTACAAACTGTTCATCGTTCACCACTATTTTGTACTCTATGTAATTCATCGATTAATTTGAAGAATGTTTTATAAAATTCAATGTATTCTGATTCAGAGATTTTTTTTTTTTTTATAATTTCACACATTGAGTTTGGCTAATTTGTTTCTGCAACATGCAATGGTTTTCTCTGATTTTCCAATTTTATTATTAATGAAAATCACTCAACCTTATAGTATAAATATTTATTCATTTCCTTATATGTAACCATGTAGATAGTGAACTAGTACAACATAATCATTTTTCGACGCTGAAGCTTGAATGGGATATGACCCATTTTAACACCGCTATCTGAAAAATATGCTCCATTTGATATATACATGTACATGAACATGTAGATGATTGTAAATTATAGAATAACTATATTGTGGTGTCTTCATTAGATACTTATTACTTAGAGGCAAACACTAATTATAACATGGAGGTAAAACTGTCCTTTGGCAGCATCTACCTACTAGTACAGGTAGTTGAAAAGTTTTGTTACATTTATCAAAATTATTGCAACATGTAAGTGCATGTTATCGTGATTGTAATATTTTTTGGTTACATCACTATACGTATAAAAAACTGAATTACTTTAATTCCAAGTCTGTTTAGACAAGTATACATGTAAAATAGACAGGATTAAACATAGATTAAATACATTTATTATATACCCAAGTGTGTATCACTCAATTTTACTGTAGATTTCGTACAATCACGTGACGGTGTGATCCGACTTTCCGGATCACCACACTGTGGTTTTCTGAATCCATATCACCCCTCTCTGAAACTGATGACGTAGTACACAGAAACATGACGTTATTTTTCATGCGCATCAAAAAGTTCCTTGAAAAATGCTTTGTTTAATGGAAAAATCTTATATAATTGATCTCAAAAGTTTTTTTTAAAACTATATTTTGCTACTTGTAAGGGAGGGTTTAATAATATTCGCGTCTCGTTTGATCTGATGAACCGCGCCTGTCAACTCGACGTGATACGACTCTTCGGATCAAGTTACTGTTATAATAATGTATATTTATCATAAAAAAATGCACTACATGTATATTGTCTAGTCTACTAAAATTAATGCAATCATTAATCTTATTAATTGCATTATTATATACTGATGATTTTGCCATGCTTTGAATGAAATTAAAGTAAATGTTACATGTACGAATTTGTCTAATATATATATATATATATATATATATATATATATATATATATATATATATATATATATATATATATATATATTCAATTTGATATTTAATAGCTTAGTCTAGTCAAGTATTTCAAGATAAACACGATTATAAGGTTCGAACTTTTGAACCAAAAATGCCTTTTAATACACATGTTATAATACGTAATAAAGTGAACGATAAATCATATTATTTGCATTGACTATTTAAAAGAAAACATTATCGATATATTTAGATTAACTTGACAAAAACATAAATGTTGCTCCATTAACTGAAAAGAAACATCAAACCACTTTCTGGAAATTGCACATAAAACGCGCTTTTAAGATAAAAATAAAAGCGAAACTAAAATGTATTTCTCAGAAACGAAAAGAAAAATAAATACATCTCACACGCTGACTGACAAGGCTGCACAATGGGAAACGGAGAATCTGTTGCGTATATGAGACCGTCTGAAATTCGTTATACCCACGATAGCATCCAGGCAAATTTTCGAGATGGAACACCCCTTGAATCGACTTTTCACCAACTTGTTTATAAAAAAATCCAAGTAGACACGTTACCTATGATTGAAGTCATGCAGTATAACGGCTACTGGTTTGTAGTGCGTGGAAACAGAAGACTTTTCCTGCTGAAGAAATTAGAAGAATATGATCAAGTGTCAACTGTCCAGGTGCTTAGAAAACCCTTCGATCCAGACGTATTCGAGAGACAGTTTACGACAAACAATATGGGAACTAGTGTCAAAATAAGAGGCGGGATTTACGGTACGCCTTTGGAGCTGAGACTGAACGAGATTTGGACTGAGTACCAAAATTCTGGTAAGTTTTACAGCTAAATATCCGAATTATCTTTATATCACATGTTTACTCTTTTATACAGTGGATATAGTTCATATGATTATGATATCGTTTTCATATTCACGGTTGTGACGTCACAATGGTTTTTGCGTGAATTCGATCAAGTCAAATATTTTGTATTGTATAAAACAGTGTAATCATAATAATCATAAAATAACATAATAAAATAAATATGTGATGAAACATGTGAAGGATAGCTATGTGTAAAACATGTGATAAAAAAAAAATCTCTCATGGTCTGTGGTTGAATATTATTTATTATATAACTCGTTTGTTTTTATCTCCTCGCCAAGTCTCGGGGATAAAGACACGCACAACTCGCTGGATAAAAAATCATATCCAACCACAAACCATGGTAGATTCTATATATATTCCACATGAGCACGTCTACTTAACTGTAATATTAGACGATTGCTCATCTAAAGTAAAATATCTTCAATTTTCTTTCATTTCCAACCTTCAAACATTCCATTTTATCACAATTTTTCACGTCTACGGAGATATTTGTTGATGTTGGCAAGTGGTACCGGTCCAACCATAGACCTACATACATGTATGCTGTAAGCCCATGTCTCGCTAAACAGATGAAGCTTAAGTACATTAGGGTACTTAAAGCAATATCTTTGTGGATGTTTAGACTTTAGTATAACCAAATAAATTTAGGATATAAACCCAATTCTCTTTGGGCACTCGGGAGTACCGTGTTTTTTTCTTTCAATGCGACTCCAAAAAATCTTAAATATAAAAGGAATTAATATTTAACATGTTTTTATAAATGATATATGTGTAAAACTATAAGAATTTCAACGTGTTTTTTGAGATTAAAAAAACACAGTTGTACAAGCTGCAGATAATGCACTCCACCAAAGACGGATGTTAAAAGGATGCAAGAATGCCGGGTTTTGTGTTTTTTTCAAAACGTAAGTTATCAATCCTATTTGTTTTACTACAATACGTATACATGTATATATTATAGATATACATGTACGTATATATGCAGGCACTCAAAAACCCAAGGTTTCATATGCATGTAGATGCCAAAGAAAATATATTTAGCGAAGTCATATAAGTGCACACCTATTTATATCAGTAGAATGAAAGTAAAGCTCGGAAAGTAAAGGTCATAAATATGAGCACACTTTTGGTTCTATTTCACTTGTCAGGTTTTCAATTTAACCATGCACTGTACACAAAAAATTGTTCAAGTATGCAAATCTAAACAATCTGAATGTCTAATCATTAAACACACAAAGCAAACTTTGATAGCCTTTATTTATGATAAAATTTTATTTTAACGCTATTCCACGTTTTTTTTCTGTTTAGCGCCCGCCTTGGTTTCTGATACCACAGATCAGAGATAAATAAACATAATCAGGTGTCGTGAAATTGATAATTTTGGTGGATTCTGTCAATTTATTTCTTTATATGTCTAAAATCTGTCAGATTATGTATAATATATAAAAGGCATTTAATACCTGGATATTGCCAAGGACTATAAAGTCTGTATTTTATTTTTTTGGTTTTTTGCGTTTTTGTGAACAGGGTACGTCTTTGAAAGATGGGTGGACGCTGAACAGAGAAATAACTTGGAGTGGCCTAGTGGTTTTATCTTCTGGAGTATAATATTCTTATGAACAGACAATGTGAGTTGAAGGCAAATTAAAATTCTGAGGACAGTACAATTAATTTTTGATCGGAGGAAACGTGATTGTATCAGGTCCTTCTTTTTTGACTAGTAAGTTCATACAAATGAAAATGTCTTGACGCTTTTCACAGTATATATATATTTTTTTTTAGATTGGAACTTATGCTATTAGAAATCTGAAATTAAAAATTGCATAAGATCTTTTTTGATGTACACGTTGGCACATACTCTGTAAACATGATACATGTACAGGTATAATCATTTAAACTTTATTTTCATTGTTGAGGATTAATTTTGCTAGGATTTTATTATTTTCCTGCAATAGAATCTTTGCAATAGTAAAATGTGTTTAAACTCATCTATTTACAGAATGGGATGCTTGCTCTTGTGGGTGATGTGATTTGTAGGATATATTACATAAATGACTTGACTTATTGGCTGGACTAAAGATTAGTTTTCTCAGTGACCAGTGGATAAGATTGGTACCTACTCCACAGAAGTATGAATGTTTCATTGGAGAGAGAAAAAAAAAATTCTTGATGTCCAACTTATTCACCAAGTTTTTTTCTCGTAGTTATAATGCCTTTGATGACATATTCTTTTGTACCTTGGGACTTCCTAACCTCGGACACCTAAAGAGTCACTAGACTTTGATTCATTCTTTTGCATTTTCCTTGTAATATCGCCAACCCCTCAAATTCTATCAATACCGTAACTCCGTCACTCTCGGGAAACTCCGCGCTATTTGTAAACGAATGCAACTGTGACGTAATTTTTCTATGCAGAAATATTTACAATCATATAACAGCCAAGTTCAAGAATGCGTCAAAAACAAATATTAATAACACTGAATCTATTGTATCTATCATATTTTATGTGAAATCAATAAGCACCTTTTCCTTTATGCGCTAAACCATCGACACCTTCAACATATACCTCAACATGCTCATTTTCACATGTCAGACATTTTTATAAAGGTCTGTATCAAAGGTTCACAGCACAATCCATATTGAATACCGCTAAAAGTATTTTATTTTTCTCCTGCATTTGCCCTAATGCACTAAACGTTATAAATCACAGGCACTTGGGGTCTGGACCCCCCCCCCTTTTCCATTTTTTTTTCTTTTTAAATATGGGGTCGAGTCACCTATTTTTGTATTCTAATATGCACTATATGTTATCAATAATGTAACTCTTTTGTCTCTATATGCTGTTTTTAAATATACCGTTTTCGACTGATACATAAAAAGAGAGAAGGCTTGCAACTCTTTTCTCGTCGTCTGCCTCACCTCGCTTAAACTTCGCCTGATTATTTATCTAAAGCATAAGAACACATGGAATATGCATACATCAATAAATTTGTTACACATTCTTCTTCCTTTTCATATTTCCATTTAATTTTTATGTGCCCCCGATTTGTAAATATTTCGATTAAATCAACCGCATCTAGGGTAAATATTGTTGATGTGCACTAGCTGGGACGGAAGTGTCCGGTATTTTCGGGCGTCATCATTAAGTGTAACGTCATTCGGAACATTAAATGAAAGAGGGAAAAATCCCGAATTTTCTCTTCTTAATATATGTAACGGTAAGTTTTGTGTATAACAAGATAACTCTAACTAGCAGATTCTAATGGATGAATATTAACATTTAACATACGACTTAGACAACCAAATTTCTCAATATTTTTATTTCAAAGCTTGGAATTTTTATTTAATACAGAACATTTGTAAAGTTAGAGTTACCGTTATTGCACTTCCGTCCCAGCTAGTGCACATCAACAATATTTACCCTAGATGCGGTTGATTTAATCGAAATATTTACAAATCGGGGGCACATAAAAATTAAATGGAAATATGAAAAGGAAGAAGAATGTGTAACAAATTTATTGATGTATGCATATTCCATGTGTTCTTATGCTTTAGATAAATAATCAGGCGAAGTTTAAGCGAGGTGAGGCAGACGACGAGAAAAGAGTTGCAAGCCTTCTCTCTTTTTATGTATCAGTCGAAAACGGTATATTTAAAAACAGCATATAGAGACAAAAGAGTTACATTATTGATAACATATAGTGCATATTAGAATACAAAAATAGGAAAAAGGTGACTCGACCCCATATTTAAAAAGAAAAAAAATGGAAAAAGGGGGGGGGGGTCCAGACCCCAAGTGCCTGTGTTATAAATTACAATTTTATACTATTTTAAATTTTTAAAACCAATTTTATGCTTACAGGTTCAAGAAACAGGGACAAAAACTTAACTGGAAAAAAAATCTATTTAGTAGGTTGATATATTGTAGAGGACCCTGGTTACGGAGTTAGGGTTCATTGGACGTAATGTACACGGATGTAATACACGTTCTATTTAGAGGTTTAACATAAGCCCAACATTTGCATAATAAAAAAATATGTTTGAGTTCATTACTAAGTGAAGCAAACAAGGAACAAATCAAAAAATAATTCAGCGTGTTTTCCGCTTATGGTGATGGAGTTGGAGTAATCTGGAATACCCTAAAATAGGGTATGCATATTAGAATAATTCATTCCCTTTCTCCAGAGTTGTCAAATTTACTTAACAGTTCAAACAAAGAAGTTGAATACAAATTTAGCCCTATACTTTTCTAAAATATGAAATTGTTTTTGAGAAATCAAAACTCATGCTTTCTGAAATGTTCAAATTCCATGCAGAATGATCATACAAATCTTTTTCCTCAAATGACTTACCTATTAAGTGTGACGTCATGAATTTGTGCATTTTCCCGTGTTTCCATAAAAAAAGTTGCAGTAAAACATCAATTTTCAGTGGAATTTTCTTTCAGACAATATATTCCACATGCATCTACAAAGATTTTAAGAAATGTGAATCTTTTTAACTTTTTACACAACGATTCCGAAAACAGAAGTGGGCGACGGCTGTGGACACTGTTTTCTTAAGGAAAAAACTCCTGAAATAAGTCATTCAGAGGCTTTTTCTTTTCTTTTTTTCTGTTTACAAATTAATAACATATTTTCAGAACAGTTCCTCATTTATGTCATCTTCTTTCCTGATTTATTACATTCATACATGTATTTTCAACTCATATTTAAGCATATTATAAAACTTTTTGAAAACGTAACACTTTCAGGGCATTAAAAAGCCGAAAACGTTACCATAAGTAATTCTTTACAAGCAGATTATGAGTATTCCTACCCTGTAGTATCACTGATACTAAAATGTATAATTAAATATTTGAAGTAACTAATATTTTTACAAAGAGATAAACTATTTTTTGATCAAGTTGTTATTTAAATTTTCTTCTTATTATTACAAGATTTGTTATCTATGTCTACGGTAGACCTATGTAATTCAAATGTCTGTTAAATTTAAGGTGATTTTAGGTTGCCTGTTTTAGACATGTACCTAACGTATGATTTGTAAAAAAAAATTGGGATAGGCACTTATCCATTTCATTTTTATAACAGAGAAGAACTAATCTGCGGGTACTGAATTTGCTTGTACCTTTGATTAAAGCTGAAGAAATTTCATGTATGTGCTTGCATATCTATAATTTTTGTCAATATTAAATTAAGCACTGAAAAAAGAACTTACAATAATATTGTTTGACATCCAAGGGTCTGATGTTTTTGCCTTTGTATTCTAAGGGCAAGGTCACAACACACTGGGGACGAAAGGCATCACATGTAGATTTAGCAATAAGTGTAACAAATCCAGGAACCATTGTGCAAGCATATGCGGGGTGTTTAAGTTGACGTGATACGATGTTTAAATTTCGTATTCTGTAATGAAAGTATAGTACTCGCATATGTTATTAAAAAATATATATATATAAAAAGGTACCTAAACAATAAAGCAGTTAAAAGGGAATTTTGCATTAGCCTCCATTGCTTTTAACGTAACAACTTACCTAGATTTCATTTCGAAGTGGGTATCATTTTTGCAATGTTACAATGTAAGTTTCCAGAGACTTTGAATATGCCGCCGTGTTAATATACTATATGAACTTGATGGATACAAGTAGTTTCAAAGCAGAAATTATAAGGAAAATACTAAATTTCTTAATTGATTGAATCTAGTTTAAAGGCTACTTAAAGATATTATGTATTTCAAGCAACTGATGACATGGAAGAAACTAATAACAAAAGAAAGACTTTGTCTAATAGATATTATATTTTGTTTATATTTTCTACAATATATGAATTTCGGTATGGTCTGATTTTGATTTTTTTGACTAAATTTCCGGCAACAAAGGATGTACGTCGTCGTTTAAGTGTCCATCAATGAAAGATATAAAAGTCCATGACCATAACAAAATATTGAACAAATCTAACAAGTTCTTCACTTGATGTTTATTTTTTTGGCCCAATTTCATGGCGAATCATGAGAAAGACATTAGTACTAAGTTTTGAAGTGTCTTGACTTTGCTTCTTTGCTTATATTTGAATTTCTTTCAGGAGATAGAGTCATTCAATTTTTTTGTTCCCATACTACACAATGACATATATATTCGAATCATAAACTTGACATTTAAATATACAGCACTGTAAAAGCTTACCGGTATTTTTTTTTTTTTATTTCAGAGTCATGTACAATTTCGTAGCTGGCAGAGGACGAAGGACTGGTTAAAGAAACGAGTCTATTGATTATGTAAAATCTTTAGTTTTCATGATAATCACTGATTCTAAGCCTTTTAATAAATTACCATTGTTTCAATATAATTATTCATTTTAATATAAATTCCATTGCTGTAGTCAGTCTTTCATTTCTATTTTAATTTAAAAAAATGTCCAGAATAAAAAAAAGTTTGGAATCTTGTGATCGTATTTAAGAAAATGAGGGAATATAATGTTTTAAAACATTGTTTACCGTTGAAGTTAAATCCAGTTTGCACTGGCAAGTTTTAATAGAACAAAAGAACTCTGAGTCGTTAGAGTGGCTATTTTGAAACGGAAAGTAACAGAAGACATAAGTACCCGTGGCTGGAGGTGAAATTAATTGAACATTAATTTAAAAAAAAGACTCACGTTTTTACTCGTATAAAACAATTGTTAGAAATTTTATAAATCGAATTTCTTATACCAGAACGTCTTAATGCACAGCATAAACAATTTCATAACGATGTCTCATATATGTATTAATAATTATCATAGATGTAGAAATATGGGTTTCAAAAATTCTACGCTTTATTTAATTCGTATAGGAAACGGTAATAAGCAAATCCAAGAATTGCATTAATACAAATTTTGATGGCATAAAAATGCTGTTAAATGTTTCATTGACATCCGAGACACGATTTCTTCACTTTTATATCTAAACTATTTTTGAAACATTCAAATCAATAAAAAAGATCATGACTGCAACTTATTTATAATTGTTAATTATTAAATTAAAAAAACAACATTTATCAAAAGTTCATAATTTATATTTGACCCCCCCTTTTTTTTTTTTAGATCAATTAACGTCCACCGAAAATCAACGTCTCTCCATAAATTATGAGTGAAACATGAAGGAAACCAAAAGAGATCATTCTCAAAAGCTTTTTTAAACAATACAAATTTGAACATACAATTACTATTTTTTCACGAAGAAAAAAATATATGCAATCCAATTTATTTAAAAAACCCATCTCCTTTGAAATAATGAATTTAAAAAAGTTTAGTTTATTTTTTTCACAAAAGTAAAGTCTTGCAAGGAGTTGAGCCTAACAAAACAATAAAGCACTTTTACTTATATTGAAACCATATTATCAGGTACTTGATCTCTGCACAATTCTGAAACTCATATTAGCAAGTTATTTTTCACCCATATTTTAAAAGCCACCTTTTTAAAACATTTTGGGAAGATTATTACATTAAGAGTGTCAAAACAATTGGAAAAATATAGTTAATTTTGGGACAAAATTAAAAGAATTAAACGTGTTACAATATGATGTTAAACATGTATGGCCTCACCTTAAAAGATTTTTTTAAGTACAACAATTTTTCAGAAAAACACTTTAAATGTCTTTTTGTCGAATTTCGAGTACCAAGATCAGATCGAGGCAACTGATAAGTCTTCTGTAAAGTAGGTCAAGATAGAGAGGATGGGTCGTCAGATAATAAAAAGAAGAGACCCATTGAATCAAAACGCTCACCCGAGTCACTATGGCCATGTTCTTCAGGAGCAGAGTTTTCCTTAAATATTTTAATGTGAAACTTCGATCGCCTATTGTGGCTCCATGTTACCCCATGGGACATGATATGAAAAAACCTTGAATCTACGTACATTACCTGATGTTGCTACCATATGAATAGACTAATTATGCCTTTGTTGTTCTTGGGAAGAGGATTTTAAAAGATTTTTTCCTTTTTATTTCTACGTTAAAATTTGATTTCCCATTGTGGCTCACCCTACCCTTGAGGGTCATAATTTGAACAAACTTGAATTTACACTATGTAATCAAGCTTACACAGAAGTTTCAACTCACCTGCCCCAGTGGTTCATGAGAAGAAAATTTTTGAATGATGTCATTAGATTTCCAACAATTCCTGATTATTTTCCCCACGAGAGAAGGCGTGGGCCTTCATTTGAATAAACTTGAATCCCTCTCAACCAAGTATACTCTGTGTCAAATTTGTTTAAAATTTGCCGAGTTGTCTTGGAGAAGAAGGTGGAATTGTGAAAAGTTTATAACAACGACTGCGACAACAACGACAGACAACGGACATATTTCGATCAGTTAAGTTCACTTTATTCTTCAGCCCAGGTGAGCTTATGATATGTAGTATGAACTGGATGAAAAAAATATCATAGTCATACATGGATTAAGGTCTCAAAGTCACGGTATGTAAACATAAAATATACAGTGATAAATTTTTGAAAAGTTAAAAAAAATATTATATGTACGTATTCATGTAAGCAATAAATTATCAAATTTACCAACATAAAACTAAATGTGAAAAGTGCAATCCAAATAAAAACGAGCATCACTGAAAATAATAAGAGTAAAAAAAAGTTTCACAAAACTTCTGATCACATGTAACAGTTAAAGAAATAGTTTTTTTAAAAAAACATTTTAGAAAGTTTGGAGAAGTATACAAAAGGATCTTAATTACCAATTGAAAACAATCTTAAATGAAATGTTTAAAAAGTCAAAGAAGATTAAGTAAAAAAAACCGACTCTCATATCAGAGATAGTTTCCATCGTGGTGTCTGAACAAGTTCCAATATACAGTCCACGTGCAAATTTGATAGGAGTGCAAGATAACAGTGCATTGATATACATGTAGAATAGATATGATAGCGATTTAAGTGTTTGTTGTAACAAAAGAAAAACTGAAGAAAAGCACACACCCTCATAGCTGCATCATTGGAAGCGGTGGGTCTGTTCAGATAGCGTCAGTAAGACCGTCTGAAATTTGTTTCTCGCACGACAGCATCCAATCATATTTTAGCGATGGACGATCACTTGAAGAAACATTTCGTGAACTGCTATGGGAAGAAATCACTGTGGAATCACTGCCAATGATAGAAATTATGCAGAACAATAGCTATTGGTTCCCTCGTTGCTTTGTGGTGCGCGGGAACAGAAGGTTATTTCTGTTGCAGAAACTAGAAGAACTAGGGCGATTGAAATATGTCAAGGTCATCAGGAGATCTTACGATGAAGCAATATTTAAAAGACAGGTCACAACAACTAATATGGGGAAAAGCGTCAGAACAAGAGGTTCGTCCTTGGATCAGAGACTTGACGACATCTGGAAGGAATACAAACGCCAGAAAGGTAAGTAGTCGTGAACTATTGATCAAACTTCATTATAAATATATCTTGATTCACTCTACGCTTTTATGCCTTCGTAAAAAAGCGATATATATTTTAAGTATAATTATACTTACATGGGTAAAATTTAATAAAATTTAATTTTATGATGCAAACATAAGAATGAAGAATGTAGGTGAACGTGAAATTGAAAATTGCCTTCTGGATGTAATAAATTAATTCTATTTTGAAGTCATTCATTATTTTTTAAAGCAAGCTTTTTGATGATATACTTTGGTGCTGGCTTTATTTTTTCCAGGGTCCTGCACAATTTCTTAAATGGAGAAAGATGAAAAGTTGTATGTTCAGATGACAACCTTTTCTTTAATACAGTTTATCATAAAGTAAAATGTCTTTACTTGTGAAGATTATTACATTATTTTATACCAGACATGTGTCAATAAAATAATTCTAGATTAGAAATTCTGAAGGGCACATATACAGCACTACTTTAAAAAACATAATTATGGAAAGGCGGCCAGTCGAAAATGCAATCTCTGCCAATAGTTGTCTTTGAACTTGCATGGTGAACTCATTTTTGAAAAAAAATGATCTTTTTTTTAAAAAAAAAATCCCATTGTGTAAATGCATTGCTTAATTGTCGTTTTAAAATCCAAAATGTTTTTGTGACAGTGATAGCTCAGTAGTTTGCGTAACCAATATAAAAGCACTCGGGAATGAAGAACATTTTTATTCGATCCTTGAACGTTTATGATTTTTTATACAAACAATCAATTCATTTGTCAGTTTAATTTTATTTACTGGTTTACTAGTATTAAAATTTCAAACTAGATAAAATTGGGTTCAGTTGCACCAAGAGGGAATGCAATTTTTCTAACTTACTGAAAGTTGTCATAGATGTTTATCATCTATGTGAAGTGTTACCATATCGTAAATATTAGATATAAGCGGACTTTAATTTTACAATTTGACAAGACATTAAATGTAAATGTACGATTTTCATACCCCCGCTCCGAAAGAGCTACCGTACCTAGTCTGTCTGTGTGTCTGTATATTCGTAGCAAATTTTTGTCGCAGTTTTCTCAGCAAATGCTCATTGCAGGTGCTTGAAATTTTAGCACACTCTTTGTTTAGGCATGCCATATATTGGGATTCATTTCAGAACGAATCCGATTTCAACTTCCTGTTTATCCGTGCGTCTTTCCGGAGATGTCTATTCGTAACAAATTGTCTTCGCAGTTATTTCAGCAACCATTCTTTGCAGATGCTTGAAACTTTAGCATCCTCTTTGTTTAAGTATGCCATATGGTGGGACTCATTTTTGTATGAAACCACTGTCAACTTCCTGTTTATCCGTGTGTCTGTCCGTACCAAATTTTCTTCACAGTTTTCTCAGCAATTACTCGTTGCAAGTGCTTGAAATTTTAGCACTCGCTTTATTTGGGCATTCCATATGATGGGGTTCATTTTTATACGAATCTGATGTCAACTTCCTGTTTATCCGTGCGTCTGTCCATAGCTGTCCCTGGGCAACAAATTTTCGTCGCAGTTTTTTCAGCTACTGTTCTTCGCAGATGCTTGAAACTTTAGCTCCCTCTTTGTTCAGGTATGCCATATGATTGGCTTCATTTTTGTATGAATCTGATGTCAACTTCCTGTTTATTCATACATCTATCCGTATCAATTTTTGTCACAGTTTCCTCAGCAACTACTCATTGCATATGTTTGAAATTTTAGCACACTCTTTGTTTAGGCATGTCATATGGTGGGATTTGTTTTTGTACAAACTCGATGTCAACTTCCTGTGTATCCGTGCATCTGTTTGTACCAAATTTTCGTCGCAGTTTTCTCATCAAATACTTATCGCAGTTCATTTGATAACATAAATTCACATCAGAGCGGGACTATTACTAGTGAGCATTGGCTCGCAGATTTCTTGTTCTATGCGTGTAACTTTATCTGTAAAGTCTCTCTAGCTATGGTCAGCCTACAAAGTCTTAGACATTGCTACTTATTTCAATGATAGGGATCGTCAAACCACTATTTGATATTGACAAAAGTAAGCATGAAATTAGTTTAACTTATTCATTGGCATTGATGTATTTCATATGTGTACCTTAGTTAGTTTCATCAAGATCATTACAATTTATTATTTTTTTTACTATGCAACGACGCACGTTTTGAAACACAGAAATTGTTTCAACGAAGACATCATCATATTCACATATTCTTGATATATCTTTGATGGAGAAAAGCAAAAAAAAAAAAAAAAAAAAAAAAAAAAAAAAAAATACAAAATAATAATAATAAAATAAAAAGATAAATAGATAAAAAAAAAAAAAAAAAAAAAAATAGAAGCAAATTAAAATATTAAACAGAAAATAAGTTCTAGCTTGGAAAAGTACGAGGGGCATTTGAAAAGTTCTGAGAACTGTTTGATAAAATATTAATCGTTTAACGGAAATTACTGATTATGCTATCATTGGACAGATCACAAAAATATACACATATTGTGACGTCACTTTGTAATATTTATTACGTAATAATTCGGAAAATGACGTCAGAATCTCGAATGTCTAGCATACTGACCATAAAAATGACGTAACAAGAGACACACTTTCAGTGAAGTAAAATTTTAAAGTCAACTTTTGTTCATTATTTGGATGCACGCTAAGAGACACAACTAAGAGTTGGAAGAATGTTTACATAGACTACAGTCTATCAAATGGAGGTTATATGCTGGAGCTCCTATAGTTCTGAGGTGGTTTAAGAGTATGTCAAACATAGCATGTTATTATCGAATTTCGCGCAAAATATTGGGTAAAAAAGACGCTGCTGTGAGAAAAACACAAAGTTTACAATCACAGGAGAAAAGTGGACGGTGTTACAAAATTTGCTGGCATTAATTCGTCAGGTGTTTTAACCAAATTTGCGGAAATGATTAAAGCTCAAGAGAGTTTACGTTAAGGATGTTCCCTATTTTCTCGTAAAAACCAAAATGGCGCCGTTGTAGTTCTAACCCAACCGTAACTCGATATGTTCGAAAATTTTAAATCATGGAAAACAAATAAGATTGTACATGACAATGAAACTCATGATTTATTTTTTTGAATTGAAAGTCAAAAGCAATAGTGAGTTTTGGATTGCCGAAGTTGAAATAATATGAAAAAATTCGCAGAGAATCTCGTCCAGGGGAAGACTTTTGTACGTCTTATTTGTAAACGGTAAAAGTCCTGATACTCAAGATACGTACATTTGTGGAAAACTGCATTATTACACTTCAGTTTTATACAGAATTTGTTTTGTTTAATACAGTGAAGAGCAATATAATAGAACGAAAAACCAGCTATATCATATAAATAAAAATCTTTTATGAACGCCTAAGAAAACATTACTGTGCTTATTAACCAAGCAAAAAATAAAAAAAAAAGGAATTGCTGATTTACCGTACCATTCTTATAGTCTTACTCTACTTCCATGCAAATTTTCTTTGAAATATCTTTTCAAAGAAGCCTTTGACAGCACTTTTTCGATGTTCTTATGTGGACAAAAAACATTCCAGTATGCTACACATTCGAGATTCTGACGACATCATTTTTGGAGTTATTACGTCATAAATATAAGAAAATGACGTTCATATAAGTGCAAATTTTCCAGCTCTTTTCAATGTTATCAGACTCTTTAAGTTCTGTGAAATGGTTAATATTTTAGCAAGCAGTTCTCAGAACTTTTCAAATGCCCCTCGTAAGAGTTCAGAGTTTGCAACAAACAGTGTCTAAATTTGGCATTGTAAGTTTTTAATAAATTTATTTCAAATACTCCCAAAGAGTCAATTGCAAGGAAGTCAAGGAATGGACGAATTGATAAGTAAACTAAAGTCTTAAAAAATGGCGACACTTATCGGAGATCATATCGGAGGACAAGTTGATAGTTGTGAGCGGAATAGTTCATTTGGCAGAAAGTTGTTCCACCCATTTCACAGCCAATGATATTTGAGTGCTAGAAGACACATGCATTTACTCTGTTTTTGTGTCTTAAAGTCTTTTTGAATACTGACGTATATATCAATCATCGGGAAGTTAAAATAACGATAAGTGAATTTTTGAAATTTAAGATCGGTTCAAAATCATTTGTCAGTTTTGAATATTTTTAATATTCCCAACAACCCAAATAAATTTAAATTACCATACTAGTATTTATATTTACCACTTCCGTATTTATTGAAACAGTAGCTGTCAATGATATCAAAAAGCCTGGACTTTAATATCTCGTGGGAAATGGTTGTATACAGAGTTGAAAAGTCGTAAGTTTTTATATTATTGATTTTGGTAAAATTTTGTGATTTCAAATTTTCCAAATTCCCTTGGAATTTTTAAGTATCAACATCTGATTTACACCACTTCTCGAATATATTGTTGAACAGTACTCATGAAGTTTCTCCTTCACTACTGTATATATTATAGTGAGGAGTAAAGAAAGAGGCTTGGGAGAACATTTGCTGGAACCCGCTATGTATCTTTGTTTGTAAGGATTTTTATGAAGTGTCGGAACCCAATATAAATATGGTAATTTATATTGATTTTGGTTGTTGGGAATATCAAAAATATTCAAACTAATACAAACTGAAATGCCTCTCTTTTTAATTTTTCATTGACCATTCAGTCGTTCTTTGGCAGATATATTTCAGTTACCATTCAGTGTAAATTCTGATCGCCACATTTCAGAGATCATTGAGTAGACATTTCTGTCATTTTCCAGTTGCCTTTCATTATTTGCGTTTTCTTTACTCGATTTATGAGATTGATTACTTTTCTCTCCCCCTTTTATACGTTATCTTTCAATCATCATTCGAGAACCTTTCACTAGCCTTTGATTGATATACAATGTATTTATTATTAATTATATTGATTACAATTGGTTAACCATTAGCAATATTATACCTATCTTTTTTGTTATTTAATTTTATAAAGAATATATAGGTAGAATATTATACATTAATCTGT